TTATAGGCATTACTTTTGGAATTTCTGAAATTTTGAATAAGGTCTGGGTATTTTAGTTATAAGGATTAAATTTCAGGGCCTCAGGTGAAAAATCCTTTTACCAGAGTCGAAACTTCTTACACTTCATAGAGACAACTTGGGAACATGAGTTTAAAATTTTATCGAAGAGTTAATTACCAAAAAGATTACATTGTGTCACTAAGTTTTATAGGCATTGAGAAAATAAGTGATTAATACAATGGCCTATTTTCAATAGCTTTTCATGGAAAACATGGGAACTGAGCTTGGTCATGAGACTGGGTGTGTGGAAGCAGAGAAAGAGAAGGGGAGACATTGTAAAAAGAAAAAGCAGGCTGGGTGCAGTGGCGTACGCCTGTAATCCCAGCACTTTGGGAGGCCAAGGTGGGCAGATCATGAGGTCAAGAGATCGAGACCATCCTTGCCAACATAGTGAAACCCTGTCTCTACTAAGAATACAAAAATTGGCTGGGCATGGTGGTGCGCACCTGTAGTCCCAGCTAATCAGGAGGCTGAAGCAGGAGAATCGCTTAAACCTGGGAAGTAGTAGTTGCAGTGTGCCGACATTACACCACTGCATTCCAGCCTGGAGACAGAGCAAGACTCCATGTCAGAAAAAGTAAAAGCAGAATGCTTAAATCAGTATTTAAATTACAAGCTAGAAACTGGAGGAACTTCACTTGGATGTTTTTTGAGAGTCAACTGGTAAATAAAAATATCTGTAAAGGGTAATTCTTATAGTAATTGTTCTATCGAGATAAAGAGATCTGACTTATTTTCTGTGCTCATAAAACAACCACTTAATGGGGGGCAATTTATAGTCCTTATCCTTCCATCAGTAAAAAGTACCAAGTTACCAGGCCATATTTGAATCTTAGTTCTTTAATAATAATACTGCTGACATTTATATATTTAATAATATGTACGTAGATATATTTTATAATAATATTGACATATAAAATACTACTACTGAGATACATATATCTCAGTATTATTCTTATATATGTATTTAAGTAGTAGCATTTAATATATATATCTCAGTATTATATATATTGAGTATATATAATATATATCTCAATAGTAGTATTTTATATATATATATCACTGGTATTATTATATACTACTATTATATTAATAGTATTATTATATGTCAAATATATATTTTTATATCTCTCAGTACTATTATTAAATGTAATAAATTTATATAAATATATATTCTATGCATTTAATAATATTAAATATATTCAATAACAATAAGATAAATATATATTTATGTCAGTTATATAAATCTAAGTATGATACAATTTATATCCTTAAAATGTTTAAAGATTTATATCCTTTAAGTGTATTAAGATAGCTGTCATAAAATCTGTTTCTAATTTGCAATTTTACTAGTTATTTTTTTCTGAGAAAAAAACATCATGACTATATAGTCTCATAAAAAAAGTCAAAATAACAGAATATATACCATGGAAAAATGTTAATAATATATTTAAAACTCCAACTACAGGTCTTGAAATATAGCAAATACTTGGGATTTCCTGAAGATTAATTTGAAATCAATTATCAATAAATGTTTGATGAATTGAATTGTTTAAAATTTCTATCATATAATTAAGTCCTAATTATTGTTTATATTACCTTATTCCTGGTGGTATATACACCTTCCAAATTTTCACTTTAACTGTACTGGAAATACATCCAGTTTAACAATTATTGGATGCCTATTACCTACCTACCATAGTAGGGAACAAAATAGATTCAGTCTGTGACTTCACAGAGTTTCATGTAGTGGAAAGAGTGTAAAGTTGATTTACCAACTTTTTCAGGTGCCAAAGCAGAAGAACCATGAGTAAAATAACTTGATAGGTATATACTGAAGCCTACATGTTTATATGAGTGTACTTGTCTTAGTCCACATGGCAGACAATATACCATATTCCCATTAGAGTGCTGGGAGATACTCTCCCCATCATTACTCCAAAGGTCATACAAATTAGTACATGTATTCTACTCATTAGCTAAAATCAGATAATTCCAACATGCATTGCTCTCAATGGTTAAATATTTGCTTGAATTTTAAAACAAACTAAGTAAAGCCTACAATTTAGTAATGACTCTGTATGGTTTCATTAAAACTTACATTTTGACAGTTTCTCAGAAAACCAACACTTCATAATTAATGAATGTTCAGCCAAAGGTTGACCTTCTGAGTTAACTGGAGAAGTGCAAACTTAGGAGGAAAAAAAATGGCTTTTGACTGTTTATTAAAGCCTAAGAGCTCTTATCTTTTAGAATGAAAGTTCTGGAAGCATGCCTAAGAAATTGGCTCTATAGGTTAATATTTGAAAGTCCATTTTACATAAACATTCATGCTGTCTACTTTATGCTGTATTTAAAATAAGAGAAATTGTAAAAAGCTTAATCTACCTTGATTGCTAGGGGCCTCCTTCAAAGGTTCCTGAGATTGAACTCCCAGGCATGTGAAGCCTAAAGATACCAAGCACTTGTTATAAATGGCTCCCACATTCATTTTCAGTCTAAATCTATGGAACCTCTACTGACAGATGGCTTCTTCCTATCTGGGATTGAATTAGTTACTTTGTTTACTTAAAGGTTAGTGTTAGTACAATCAAGGTCAGAGGAGTGGACTGGTAAAAACAAGATTTGATGTCAAACAGACCTGCATTTGAATTTCACTTCTGCTCCCCAGACACTCAGTTTCTTCATCTTTAAAATAGAGAGTAGCACCTCTTTCTGTGTTTTGGCATGAAACAGAGTAGACTGAATACCACTGATACACTTGTTTCTGGGCCTGATACATAATATTCCCTCAATAAAAGCTCATTGTGGTTTTAATTTTTATATTATAAAAACAACTCACCATACACAATGTGTATTCTGCTGATCATTAGTCAACAATATTCAAGTATGAACAAGAAACAATTGTTGTCAGAATGTATAAAATCCTATGCACCTGCTTATATTTGGACCCATCAGAAATTTCGGATTTTCCAATAAAAATTCCTTATTTTATATGACAACTATTAGCATCTCTAATGCTATCCCCCCGAGTGAATAAATTATGAAATAAGCATGTAAAATAATAGTTTTGGCTCATATTCGCTCAATAAATTGTGTTTAATGGATAAATAAATGACTAAAAATTAACTATTTCAAACCATGAAGCACTCAGAAACAAAGCTTAGGCAAGAGACTAAAGATTTAGTTTCCTATTGACACTGACTTGCTCTATGACCTTTAAAAATTTCTTAATTCCCGGTTCTCCATTTTTTTATCTTTAAAATGTTAGGGTTTGATATGTAATGTCCATAGTCCTTCCCTAGTTCTGTAGGTCTATGATTCACACAATTGAGGAAATATAACTTAAGAGGCAATTTGTTCATAGAAACAGAAGAGGTGACAGGACATAAGTCCCTTGAGCTCTTAAATTCCATCTTTCTGTTTTCTCTTCTAAAAGACTTTTGAAAAATTTTCAAAATGTGTATTATTTAACCAACTGAAGAATAGACAGTACATTAGCAAAGTCCACAATGAAAATGAACACATTTGAAGGAAATTATTTCAATCTGTTGAACAGAAAAGAGAGAGTAGGAGATAGGTTTTTAGGAGAGGAAATTTGAAATATCAGCAAGTTTGTTGTGAAGGGTAGCAAAATATGCTCCCCCAAAATATGCTACTTTGGCATATTGATTATTTTGAACTACAGAAAATTGAAAAGAAACAGATATAGGAACTCTTTGCTCTCCTTCTATTTGCCTAAAAGAGGGACATAAATTTATGAAGGATTCCTTCCTGTCTTCTCTACCAGAAAGGACAGAAGTTAATCACAAGAGATAACTCTAAACACTTATCAGCCCAGAGAAGTCACCAGAGGAATCTATATAACAAACTTTGCTAAAACTAACTTCTATTTTCCGTTAGTTTCCTCTGTGTATTTACCTTCCCCCAATTTGTTGCCAGTAGAAGTTCAAAGTTATATTTCTTTGTCTTATTACTGCTCTACAAAGTTATTGTAAATTTTTGTTAAGATTATAGGAGAGCCCAAGTTCTAACTGCTACTTTGAGTTACTCATCACTAAGCAGTCCCATTTATGTGCAATACACATGTTAATAAACTCCCGTTTGTTTTTCTCTTATTTATCTGCCTTTTTATCAGTCTAATTTATATGGCCTCAGCCAATAAACCTAAAATGGATAGAAAAAATATTTTTTTTGTCCCCTACAAATACCAATCTATGGCTTTCCATGATGACAATTGGCCAACAGTTCCTGGTAGAGTTTTTCATTTGTTCATTCACTTCTTTAACAAATATTTATTGTATGATTACTATTTGCATGACCACATGCTAGAGTAAGATTATAAAGATGAATCCGACATATACTTTGTCCTTAAAGAAATTTCTCTTTAGTAAGGATGTTAAGGCATGTATATAAATAGAAAAATGTTCTAAATTATATGAGTGAAAGTTATGTGAGATTTTTGAGGAGGTAATATTTAATTTCAGCCAGGCAGATAGCAATGAAGGGAGGGAAATTGAGGAAATCTGGGAGGAGATGGCATTTTAGCTGGAGATTAAGCATGCATATATTAGGCAGAAGGACATTTCTGGCTGAAGAAATAATGTGAACAAAGTCTCAAAGGAGCAGGAAGCTGGATGCAGTTTGACTCTACAATTGGGTTTAGGAAAGAGACGAATGAGAAATACATTTAAAAGGAACACTGTCAGATTGAAGGAACCTTGAATGTCATACTAAGGAGATTCAGTTTTTATCTTTCATATAAAAAAAAACAAAAACAAAAAACAAGACACTGGAGGTTTTGGATAAGGTGGATGGAAGAAAATTGTGTTTTAGGGTGGCAACTCCTGAAGAAGATTTGTGCATGGTGGTTGTAAACTGAATCTTAATAGGCAGATAACTCAACTGAAGTTCTTAACCATAATTATTTTCTTGTCCAGGCTGCTGATGTGCTGTTGCAACATGGAGCTAATGTCAATATTCAAGATGCAGTTTTTTTCACTCCATTGCACATTGCAGCCTACTATGGGCATGAACAGGTAAGTCTGACAGTAGGATTTCCAAAGGTTAGGTGTTGCTTAAGTGTAGGCTTTTGTTGAATTGTCCTGTCTTCAAAGAGTTTATATTTAAAATATCTTTGAATTATTTTTGCCATATTCTCATCAATCCATCCTTGAGGAACCTGTAGATCCATATAAGCATTACGGTTGTCATGCTGTTCATTTTTGCTGATGAGCTTAGTACACAAAGAGGCAGAAGAGTACATTGGTAAGTGTGTGACCACAGGAATCAGTCAGCCTAAATTTGAAAAATCCCTAGTGTTTTGGCCAGGTATAGGTTATGTAATCCCTCTGATCTTAATTTATTCACCTACGAAATGGGGAAAGATATTAATATAACCTCATAGGGCTGCTGTTCGGATGCAATATAAATTGTTTGGCAAATGCTCAGTAAATGTGGCTGTGATGATGCTAATGGCAATAACAATAAAACAACTCATAAAGGCTCTATAAAAACAATTACTAATGTGCTTTATAATTTACTTTAAATATGTGATTCTATAACAGGTCCATAGGTATAAAATGTTATATTCTGTAATAAAAAATAATATATATAGAAAGCTTTAAAGTTTTTAACATACTTTTGTTCAATTTATGATTTTATTTAACCTTCACAACTTTATGAAATTATTGAGTTGCCACATGATTGAGCTTATACCATGGCATTGGCACTATAATAGAACCTTTATCTTTTTTTCTAATTTTTCCACAACCCTGAAATTGGCTGTTATTTGCCCATTCCTTTTTTTTTTCTCGAGACAGAATCTCGCTGTGTCGCCCAGGCTAGAGTGCAGTGGCGCGATCTTGGTTCACTGCAAGCTCCGCATTCTGGGTTCACGCCATTCTCCTGCCTCCGCCTCCCGAGTAGCTGGGACTACAGATGCCTGCCACCACGCCCAACTAATTTTTTGTATTTTTAGTAGAGACGGGGTTTCACCATGTTAGCCAGGATGGTCTCGATCTCCTGACCTTGTGATCCACCTGCCTCGGCTTCCCAAAATGCTAGGATTACGGGTCTGAGCCACCGCGCCTGGCCTATTTGCCCATTCTTATCAATGGTATGCATGACGCTCAGTCAGGTGAGGTAGCATGCCAGAGTCAGTCATGCAGCTATTAATAATAAATAGAAGAGCTGGAATATGTACTCAGTTCTGTCTGATCCTAAAGCCTATATTTGTTTTGCTGTACCAAAGTACCTCTTCTTATTCTTCTTCAACCAGTGAGAAAAATTATCAAGTCCAGACAATTTTCCTAAATGGAGAAGCCAGAATTCAAGGCAACATGTTCTAACTCCAAAGTCTGCTGATTTTCAACCTTAACATATCAAAAGACAAAAATTGTATGTTTCTTTAAAACACTGTCCTTTGGCAGTGAGAATACTCAAGGAACTGAAAATAACCAAAGAGAGAGAGAGAGAGAGAAACAAATGTAACTGGATAACCAAATATAACTGTTCATTGAATACTCCATTTTCACTCTTCCACAATTTGTTTTTCTAGACTCCTTCAATTTTAGGATAGAATTATACCTTTTTACCTTCCTGGAGGTCATACCACAGCACCACCTGAGGGTTCCAAGTTGAAGATGAAACTTACTTGTGTCCCTGTGCTCAATAGTCATTGTGGCTTTATTCCTCTGCTAGCTGGCATATGCCTGGACACTCTAAGACCGGTGAAGCGTGACCTATAGGTAGGAAGATTGCTTATTTCATTGATGTGCTGCTCAGAGTGCACTGGAGTGCAATGAAGAGCTGGGCACCGAAAATACTTTTAGAAGTACAGGCCCAAAAGCACAAGTAATGGAAAAATCCCATCATTTCCTAACCTCAGGCACAGACAGGATATATACAATGCATGTTATTTGTAGAGTCATCCTCTTTGACGATTAACCTCATCACCCAGCAGAAACATAAACAGCCTGTATGCATGTTGGGTGGAGAACTAAATTTGTTTACTTTCCCAGAAAATATAGTCACAGTCTTATAAAATTATGCTAAAATGTGGATGGCCCTTTTATGATAAGGGACTCACTTTCTGTGTGTGAAGGCAGCACATAAGTAATTTATGGAGACTATTGTCATTTGCTAAAATATGCTGACAGGGAGAATGGTACATTCAATATATAAATGTACCTAATGTGCCATGTTCCTTGTCATTTGTTTATTTACTTATTTTTTAAGTGGAAGAGTAGATGTTTTGTACCAAGAGTAATATTTCCTAGGTATGTAATAATAGTCCTTAATAGACAATCGATTTCAGAGATAGTTTAAATCTGTCTATTATAAAGTCACATAATCAGAATATATGGAGTCTGTTTAAGTGGAAATGTCTGCTTAGGCGTGCAAGGTTGTTGAAACTAAACTTCTGCTGTTCTGATTTCACCTGAATTAAGTCTTGATCTGTCCATTAGCCAACAAAGAGATAAAATGCACATGCTCCAAGTTGGGGCTACCACTTTTACTAACAGTTATTGAATGCCAGGCACTTTTCTGAGTGCTTTTCATGCTCTGACTTACTTAATCCTCACAACAACTCCAAGAGGTGGAAATATTGTTATTCCAACTTTAGCAACGAAGAAGCTGAAGTATCAAAATGATAAACAATTTGTTCAAAGCAATATAACTGATAAATAGAAGCCTGATTTCCAAACCCTTGCTCTTGTCCATTACACTCAATAGGAACTCAGTTCCCCACATTGTACCCAGCTAATATTTTACCTAGAATTTCTATCAAATGTCTACCATATTCTTGAGAGATTTATACTCGAGACATGTTTATTTGCTGACTCATGGGAAGTAAAAATAGTTTTAGAGCTTGAATTCACTTTTGTGCTGACACTTCAGTGGTCAAGACAATTGAGAGGGGTCAATTGCTATTTGAACCCTAACTGCTATTTTAAGGACTCAGGCGCATCTTAACTTAACCTCTTAGTATCACTGAGATGACTTTTGAAATTCTCAGGAGAGGCAATGTCAAGTTTACATAAATTATTTGGAAAGTTCTTAAGTACATATGCAAGTGACTCAAAGGAATTCCTAAATTACCTAAAACAATCCCAGGAAGACCCCTACCTGCTTCATCACTTTATCCTTCTCTGACCCTACGGATGTAGAGTCTCAGTGAATTGGAAAAGATGTCAGGGCTACTGTTCCTGTCTCCAGTTCACTCACATATCCAGAAAAAGGCCCAAAACTCCAGTAGCAAGATGGCCAGTAATGGTATATGACTGAAGCTGCCATGAAAATCAAGAATCAAGTCAACTACCACTGACTCTGGCCAGAAGGAGACTTTGGAAGAGATCATTCAGAGAAGATTCTGCATGACTCTAGCGAGGGTTATTTATGTACAGTGAAGACCTACATTATGAAATTGACAAGAGAGTTGATACTAAAGAGAGCAAATGACAACAGTAGGTTTTCAAGGTCAAAAAATATGGAAAGGATTTTTAAAAAATGTTTTCAAAGTTCCCTAGCATCTCATCTAGCCCCACATTAACTCTGAAACAGAAATGGTAAACAACATTTTCTCAGTTCACCAACAAAAATAAAAAATAACATTTACAGAACAAATAGTGTATGACAGTCATTGTGCTATGCACTTTAAACAAATTCCTAATCTAATCCTCATGACAACCCATGAGTTAAGTCTTCTTATTATTCCCATTGCACATATGAAAAAACTTGGGTATAAATAAATTAACTAATTTTTCTCAAGAACACACAGCTGATATAAATCAGATTCTAGATTCGAATCTAGGACTATCTCAAACTGCACCTTAATTCTTAATCAGTATATGATATTACCCCTCAAGTTAACATAAGGTCGGTAGCAGGCACTATTTATTGGCTGCTTGGGCAAAACTATCATTTCAACTATTACCACTTTGGGCCATATATTTTTTTCTTTCTTGCAGACTCTTTATTTTACTGTTCAACCTCTCTCCTAGAGGCTGTGCTTAGAGATGCTCCTATCCCCATCCACTGTGTGTTAGATCTTGTTTAGTTGAAGCCACTCACGGTAAATCTTTCCCCTTGTCCAGGGATTGGTTTAGAAAGTTGCAAATGACCTAGTCTGGACTGAGGAGATATGGGAAGAGGGTTTCTGGAGAGTTTTTAAGAAGGAATTTCTAGATTTAAAAAAAATAGCCGCTTGTTCCAAAAGGTAGAGGTCATCTCCTGCTGTACTCTGTGGACCTCAGTTTGTAGTGACTGGAGATGCTGCAGCTCTCTTGCTACCATGGGGTGATCCATCCTACTTGCTGAGCATGGCACAACAGAATGATGGAAAGAACTTGAGTTATTAAGCTGTTGTATTAATCAACCCTAGAATTATTCCAGTTTTGGACTTCCTGTTAGGTGATATAACAATAAATTTTTTGTGGTTTACGCCAGTTGGGTTTTTGTATACTGCCAAAAGTTTTGCATTATTGTTTGAATTTTGATACTAATTTCAAATGAATAAATCCTTTAGGTAACTCGCCTTCTTTTGAAATTTGGTGCTGATGTAAATGTAAGTGGTGAAGTTGGAGATAGACCCCTCCACCTAGCATCCGCAAAAGGATTCTTGAATATTGCAAAACTCTTGATGGAAGAAGGCAGCAAAGCAGATGGTAAGATTATATGTTTAAAAGACCTTTGCTATCATTTGCTTTATGCATACTTTTTACTTGTAATTCTCTTACTAGAGAATAATCTTGAAGTTGACTAATCCTGTAGTCATGTACTTATTTACTCCACAAGTCATAATTTATCTTTAATATATTTATTAGGCCTACATGCGAATCCTTCTTTACATGTTTTAGCTCAATTCTTAATATATTAGGTGCTCCAGTGAAAGTAAAGTGTTCTCGTAGATAAATTAGTTGTCTTTGCTGTTGTTCACTGATCTTTTCTAAATTGAGATATTATTTACTTCTAGAAAATTCTCAAATCTTAAGTATATAACCTGATGAATATTTATGTATGTATACATCCATTGAAAACCACCCAGATCAAGATTTAGAATATTTCATCACTCTGAAATTTTCCCTTATGCACTCATCTTAGGGAAATAGACTTTACCACCAAAGGTAATTAATATTCTGACTTTTATTGCTATATATAGTTTTGTCTGTTCTTGAAGTTTGTATAAATTTATGACTGGCTTCTTTGCCCAACAAGATGATTTGGACATACATCCATGTTGTTGTATGGATCATAGTTTGTTCTTTTATATTGTTGAAGATTACATGAATATACCATAATTGGTATATCCATTCTTCTCCTAGTAGACATTTTAATATTTCTAGTGTTCTTTTGTTATGAATACAATTGCCAGTAACATTCTTGTTCAAGTCTTTTTGTGGACATATATGTTCATCTCTCTTATATATATATATGCACATATATATATGAGAGAATTGATAATTCGAAAGGTAACAATGCATATGTTTAATGTTTTAGGAAATTTCTAGACAGTTTTCCAAAATGTTTGTACTGTTTTAAAATCTTACAACAATATATGAGAATTTCAGTTGCTTCCCACAGCATCCCCAATATTTGATATTATATTACTACACTTTTTAATGGAGTTTGAGTGTGATCCATTTGGGGAAAAAAAGTTTTAGAATACATAGAAGGACTTCAGAATCAGTTGATGGAATAGAATTTCCTTTCATTTTTATTTTCTTAATTATAAAATAAATTTTGGAAAGTTGATTATAACTATTGAAAAATTTCTTTTTTTCACTTTTCCTCACAAACTTTATTTTTTGACAAAAATTCACTCAGAGTTGCATCTTGCCATTAAATTCTCTCAGGCATATCCAACATTCTTCCATTGACCCCCAAGAGACCCAATTAAAAGCCCAGCTGTAAGAACTGCTGGCCTTTGCAGCAGGAACAATACACATTTCCGAAAGGACACGGTTGTCAAATCTCTAGAACTGCCAGTTCCTTGGTCCAAAATTCAGATTGATATTTAGTTAATAAAGCTAACCAATGTTTTTTATCTACCCATAAGGAATACACAAAGTCTCCTAGAGACAACTGTGGCAAGAGACCAGGGTAATTTCCAGTTTCTAAGTTGTAAACAGGGGCCACTTTATTTTGTAAAATTTAAGAAACATAGCTTGCATTGTTTTCTATACGCCAGTATGCAGTAACTCAGGCAGCTACTTTAGAGCATTATTATAAACAACCTATGTTGTTAGGATGTAAGGAATGCTGTTCCTTGGACCTTGTTTAGGCAGTCTCTTTCATTTTGTTAGTTTAGAATAGGCACAGATACACCTGTGTGAACCACTGAACACATAATCGTGTTTTTGAAACTGCTTCACTTTTCCAAGAGGTCAGGAACTGCATCACTTTTTCCTTTTATTATTGATGCCAACCTTAGCTTTTTATTCCTCTGCACAACTCCAGAGCTCAGTAGTGTCAAAATGAATGTCATTTATGATCAGCATGTCTCTAGGATCAAAAGACTCCTCTGCAAAAGGCATTGAAATGTGTAATACTACAGCCACATCCCCCTTACATGCCAGCATCATATGATACAATTTTTAACATTTTCTTTGTGGTGCATGCAAGTATTACATGCCTCCTACTCAACTATTTTATAAAATCAAGAGACAGCATGACTCAGATTTTTAAGTATTTTTATTTCTTTCTAGTACACGCTTGATATTTAAGTTCCATTTGCACTTCAACCAATCGCAAAAAAATAAACCAGAAGATCTGCTATGCCAATGGACACTGTGCAGGACTTATTATCAGTGAGTTCACTTATTCTAAAATGTAGCTAAGCCTCCAAATGATTTATTTTAGATCTGGACCCTGCCTGTGGTAAATGGACATAGCAGAAAGATTAAGTAAATAGCTCCAAAAGAGTACAATTTGAAATCCAGTATTTACAGTATGTTTCCATGGTAACAGAATGTCACAAATGAAAATAAATTCAGGTTGCAAAATTACTCAAAATGTAATTCTGAAAGCACTTTCTTTAGTTCAGCATGTTTGGAAGGCTGACCTATTCAGTTAGGTATGTTTTAAATCTCTGTTCTGCTTCCTTGTATCTCTTAGGGTAACGAAAAAGAAGTATAATGCCCCCTAAATTAGATTGAAAAGGTTAAAATATTGATGGACTGCATAAGAAAAAAAATAGTGATACAGTCTTCAAAATATACCATTTTGATAATGTTAAAAATTGAAAATTTTAATTTTAGAATTAATAATTTTATCATCTTAATCATAAATGCTATATTTCTTTTAAATAACACAATCCTTGCAACTGGATGGAGCTGGATATTACAGAAAGCCACAAAAAATTTCTAGAACATGCCCAGCCATAGGAAGTGTTTCACTTTTTGAAATATAGCTTCTTGGATGTATTACACAGATCTGTTACTGAAAGCTTATTAAAGACAGACCTGGGAGTAATTTTAAAGATCTTGTAGGACCTGCTGATATTGCTTGGTTAATCTGGAAAATTTTATTTTATTTTTAGAGTCAATAAGCAGAAGTAAAGAAGAAACAGCATCCATTCACCCAATATTCAATATTTCTTTCAAAAGACATCACCATATACCTACTCTCTTCTAAACAGAGCACCAGGCACTAGATATTTTCCCAATAATGATTTACATGTATTTTTTGTTTTAAATTCTCCTTTATATGTTTCTCAATAAGATGCTAAGTTAGAGCACATAGAATGTTATCCATGCATTCAATTTTTCTAAGATATAATAATATGTTTTCTTTTTTGTCTTTGCAAATTGGTCCAAGACAAAACTAAATACATCACAGTGACTGAAGCAAAAACAGACGTGTATACACATAAATTCTATGTCTGATTTCATATTTGTCCTGGCTTGTTCCTTCAGTTGGTATTTACATCTTCTTTGAAGGGAATAATGTTTCAGCCACTGCGGATAATTCACCAAGTAAATAACCTAATTTGAAGTTTACTGATTCAATTGGAGAGGAATACTGGGTGGGGCCAAGGATGGCCAAAGGCAAATTATAAATTAATAGAAGATTGCACTGCATTCTGCTTTGCATTTTTCCTTCTGAACCTTAAGAATTCTTATGTCACGCTCCAGATGCCCTGGACTCCTGACTGTTCTCAAATACTGACTTGTGGCATTGACTTTCCCTGGCTTAGAACAGAATGTGAACAAAGGAAAAGCTTTTTTAAAAGGGAGATAATCAAAAGAACCAAGAACATTCTTCTGAATGAAAGATGTATTTTTTCAGCTACTCATTAATAAAAAAAGATTCAAAGGTTTGTTTTTAATAACAGCCTTGGGAGGAGAAGCTCAATGACTTTGCTAAAGATTTCCCTTTGGCTTAAAATCTTGTAGGAAAATAAAATGAGGATGATTGTCTATAAATACAGCAGCTACAAGGCCTAATTAAGACCCTGTCTAGATTGACAAAGTAATCAAACAGTAAAACAAATGGCTTTAGAGCAGCTGATTCCATTATTTTAGTATTAAAAATTATTAAAGCCAGATTAGGAATTAGCAGTTTGATGTTCAGTTGTTATTACTTCAGGACTGTAATTATTGACTGTTTAACTAGACTGTAAGTTGTTTGAGAGTATAGACTCTGCATTTATCTGTTATTAGCTTTGGACATAGCAAATTTCTCAGAGGGACATTAGTAAAAAGGTTAAGTAACTTTTATTAAATGTCTAGTATATGACAGGCTTCATGCTTGATAGAGGCTTTCCAATCATGATCCTCTTTATTCTTTTCGGCATCCCTGGAACAATGATCTTATTATATTCATTGTTACTGATAAGACATCCATACCTCCAACACTAGCTTAATGGCTAATACATAGTGATCATTTGATTCTTGTTGAGGAATGAGAGTGTATCTGTCAAGTTTTTTTTCTTTCAAGTATTAGAAACTAACTCTTGCTAACTTAGTCATAAAATGAGTAGATTAAAGGATATCATGTAGCACATAGAATCTTCTTCAGAACAGAGTAGAAAGCCATGTTTGAAATTCTCACAGTGAGGAACAACATCCAAAATCATGCCCAAATGTGGTCCTGTGAAGATGCACTGCCACCCTTCCTAGGCACACATAAATTCTTGTGCTTCTGATGCCAACAATGAAGGGCATTGAATCTGTGGCTGGAATTGCTACCATGGGAAATTGGATGGAGCTACTGCCACGTTGCCAAGATAGATTAGGCCTTGCTTTTTATGTCATCAGCTCTGAAGTCAGTCTCATATGATGTGTTGAATGGAGGAGTCTACAGATAGGTGTCCAGACCAGGGAACTGTTGAGAGTAAAAGTGTCATTAAGAATTATTCCAGGATAACAAGTCTAAACCAGGACATATGGTCACCCTCTGCTAATTCTGTTCCCTAGCTGCAAAGAGATCATGGAAAGCACATTTTCTGCTTCTATGATAGAATGTGGTCTTGGCTTCTCATTAGTACTCACAGTGTACGGAATTACCCAAACATCAGAAGAGGTTATAAGGCTGGGTGTTCCAAAGAGAAGGACAAATGTGCACTACTGAATTAAGAATTGAATTTTAAATAACCTGTCTAAAGTAAAACAATTAATGAGGTCTGCCTAAGTCTAAAGCACTTTTCCTTTCATGATACCATGCTTTGCATAGTATACTATGGTAATTTTCAGCTAAGGATATACATCAGAGCTGTTTACAATAGTATTGTAAACATACAGGTTGTGGGGTCCCACTCTAACCTACTGAACCCAAATCTCTGGGAATGGTGCTCCGGCCAGGATCTGTAATTCTTAACATCATTCAGAGAAAAAAAAAATCAATTTGAAAGGTGATCCTTGTGGAAACAAGTCCACGTGTACCTTTTGGATGCTATTAGTTTCCCAAACTGTTCTATTGTTTGAGATAGATTTGATTTAATGTGTTCCATAGAATTTATGGAAGCTAGAAGGAAACCTGTTTAATGTGGTAGTAGGCAATAGAATAAAATTATAATTTTAAAAATTGGTCGTCCTTAACTTCCTTTATTATTATCATTAACTGGCATTTCCAGGAATCACTCAAGTACTTAGAAATGTCTGTGGTACTATACATATGAAGGTTGAGAAACAAAGAATTCCAGATAACATATCCTTTTCTTTCTTGCTGATAACAGTGAATGCTCAAGATAATGAAGACCATGTCCCGCTCCATTTCTGTTCTCGATTTGGACACCATGATATAGTTAAGTATCTGCTGCAAAGTGATTTGGAAGTTCAACCTCATGCTGTTAATATCTATGGAGATACCCCCTTGCACCTGTGAGTATTATGTAGCGTTCCATAGGTCCTCCAGGTATACTGCATGTACTTGCTTACAATATTAACAAGATATTTTCTTCAAATCTAGGGCATGCTACAATGGCAAATTTGAAGTTGCCAAGGAAATCATCCAAGTATCAGGAACAGAAAGTCTGACTAAGGAAAACATCTTCAGTGAAACTGCTTTTCATAGGTAAAAGAATATTTAAGTGCAATAGCGACTAAACTTAGCCGACACTCTAAAGCACCTGAAGTTGTGTGCATAAAGCAAGAACAAATAGTGGCAGATGTTGCAATCAGAGAGCAATAGCAGAGGTAGGGCAGAGGACAAAGAGCCCGAGCTAGATGCAGGGAAGAAAAGGTGGAGGCAGATGCTGCAGTCAGTACAACAGATGGGGCCGAAGCCAGATGCTGCGTTCCTGGCAGCAGCCACAAAGACAGGGACTGATGTTGCCAAGGCAACAGGCATATCAACATCTGTAAGCATATTGCTTCTATTCCTCTTCACTCCATGGAAAGCTGCCAAAAAGGGATGCTCCCATAATCCTCCTCCAACAAGAATCTCATTACCAGAATTCATCAGCATTAAATGTGACACTTTTTCCTTTCCACTTAAACCTTACGTGAAAATGTGTCTACCTATCTAAAACATCCATCTGTCAGCCTGTAAAAGCCTAGTCAGGGTGGCCACTCAAATACCTAAGAAAGCATTAGCTCTTCTCTAGGAATTCATGAGAGCCCTTTACGGTGTGCTCTAGAAAAGCACACTGAAGGAACAGCTGGGATTAGAAAAGTTGCAACCAAAAATAAAAGGAGAGAAAAAGAAAAGAAAGAAAAGGTTGCTAATAAGTCAGAGCGATAGTTCCCTAAAATGCCCAAAAGGAAGGTGGATGTTTTATAAAATCTAAGGCCTTCATTTTTAATGAGTAACTGTTTTGGTATAACAGTAAAAGCATAGTTTGTAGTAATTTGTATTTAGTAGGTCTTGAAAATTAGTTCGTTTGCCTACACATTACATATTTTTTATTAGTTTGTAACCTCTAAAAATGTATTTGAGACTAATTTGTTGTTCACATAAAGTTTTTGCATTGCATTGATGAATAATAAAAATGAGGAGACTCTCTTTTTTTCTTACCAAACTAAAATTAAGCTTGTGCTTCTGCATCAGGCATCAACCTGTCAAATTTCACATACATTTCCAGATTTTTCTTGTCAGCCAAAGACTCGGTCAAAAAAACGATGAAGTAAAACCACCATTTATGGAATAGTGACCATATGCCAGATGATTTGCATCCATTATCTCGTCTAATCCTCACAACGTTTTATGAAGTTGGATTTATTATCTCTCTTTTACAGAAGAGAAAATTGAGGATCAGAAAAGCTAAGTGACTTGCCAAAGTTCCTTATGGATAGAAAATAATGTTGCAAATGCCTACCTAATTCTAAATCCTGTGCTTTTTACATTTCTTCATGTTCTAGTACCAAAATATTTTGTCTGTTTTCTACACAGTCAGTAACAGAACAGATGCAAGAACTCCTTAGATCATACCTTCAGTCAAACGGTTCAGTGGAATCTGTCCCTGCAGGGGACAGTTGGCAGAACTGATATGTAGTGGTTGCTGGTATTCTCTTTCCCATTAGGTCATGCCTGTTACAGCTGACACCTCAGGCTAGTTTTCAAATCATTTTGCTACTTCATGCACTAAAATTGAAACCAACTGTAATCAGAGGGTGACTGTCACCTCCAAAAGATTGTCTATATGAGAAGATTTGTGAAGTGAGTTGAAAGTATATACCCAATTGTTTTATTTTGTGTAAGCCTGTGGCTACTCAGAGTTAACAGATTCATGTTTTTGTTGTATTCATTTTAAGCAAATATTTATAAAAGAGTGTCCTTTTACATGAGGAATTCACTCTGAATACGAATTTTTCTATGTACAATCATAGTATTTTGCACAGAGTAAGCACTCAGCACATTTCTCTTGTGGTTTTCATATGTATACACACACATATATAAAAATATATATGTGTATATAGATGTACACATATACACATATATGTGCATTATATATGTGCATGTATGTATGTCTATATATACACTCATATGTATACATATATATGTGCATATATTCAGAACTCATTTTCTGTAAGTAGTTTCTTTGAAAAAGAGCAATGAATCAATATTAAATGTGTACTGTTATGGGTCATATTTATAATGCAAATAGTTAATGACATGATATATTGCACTGAGATGGTAGTTTTTTTATTCACTCAATAATTCAAGAGAGAGTTATTAAACACCTACCTTGTATTGCTGCTACTAGGGACATTAAGATGACAGGATTCTTTCCATCCTTAAAATAGCCCTATTATAAGGTATCAAGGTAAACAGAGGTGTATCCAGTACCATATCACAGTGTGATAAGCACTGTAAGATTGAAATTACAAAGAAGCAGAGGGGTCAGCAATGAAGTCTGCCTTTGGTTCATTAGAATACTTCATATTCAGTTTAATCGGATGAAGAATGAATGATATTTCATGAAAGAAAAATGACTTAGGCAATGCCATCCCCGGAGGAGGAAATGCTAAGACCCAGTGAACTCCCTCTTTTTTCTAGAACCAAGTCCCTATGCCCTTCCTTTAGCCATTATTTAGTTGAGGCTTTGCCCAATGCTAGTTCGTTCCAGTCACTTATTACATACCTCATATCTCTTCATGATTTGAATATAGAGTATTGTTAGTTAACAAGTGATTGCAAAAGCAGAGGTATGAGGGAAACTACAGGAAAAGAACATTTATGAGAGAATTACTAATCAAGAAGTTAAATCCAGTAGTCATTACTAGGCATGTTAATTTCATACAAAATCTTTTTCTCAATGCATCTTAGCTTTCCCAGTAAACAGTAGAAATCAGAATTTCAGCTAAGTATTTCAACAAATCTATTTGCAAAATTTATCTTAAAAAATCTTACTTCCTTGCATCTTGAAATTTATTACTTTTTCCACAAATACTTTCTCACAACTGGAAAAAGCTGATAATGAAATGTCCTCTACAATTTGTAATGTGATTCTATAAGCATTAATTTACTTGAAATTTCAGCATCAATTTGGCAACTTGAGAAAGTATTGTCTATCATTGTTTTATAGATGGTAAAACTAAAACTCACAGAGGTCAAAGAACTTGTCCAGGACCTCTGGTTTGTGTGTGGCAGAATTCTGGATTTTGAGTCCACAACTAATGCTCCATCAGTAAAATGAAAGCTTTGAGATCTTACTCTCTGGTCAAGGAAGTGTTTGAAGAGACAGTAGATGGTTTTACCGGGAATAATTTCAGATTGCGGCCTGGATTTGACTAAAACTCTCAGAACCCTCCTGAATTTCTAATTTGATTGTCCTGCAGAATAATTCCTAGGTCCTGCAGCTAAAAATGCACGGATCTCTTATATCTTATGTCCTTTTATGAAAAATAACTAATATCCCTGAAAACATTTGATAAAAAAACACTGGAAATTTTATACAGCTCTTTTCTTAAAGATCCAGATGTGAGAATCTTTAGAATTTTTCTCACCGTATATCCACGTTTTTATTTAGCCTTTGTAGATGGTGCTTGTTTATTTTTCATCATCTCCTCCCTTCTCTGTTTCTTTGGCTCTCTTATATACATGTGTGCGTCTAGAATGCCTGACTTAATCAGGGCTACATTTTTTTGTTAGGACTGCCATAAAGAAATACCACAGACTGGGTGGCTTAAGCAAGAGAAATTTATCATCTCACAGTTCTGGAGGATAGAAGTCCAAGATCAAGATGTCAACAGGTTTGGCTTCTCCTGAGGCCTCTTTCCTTGGCTTGCAGATGGCTGCCTTCTTGCTGTGTCTTCACATGGCTGCCTCTCTGTCTATGTCACCTGTGTCTTCATCCCAGATTCTTCTTATAAGGATGTCAGTCATATTGAATTGGGGCCCACCCTAATGACCCCATTTTAAGTTAAGTACCTCTTTAAAGACACAATCCTTAAATACAGTCTCATTGTCAGGTTATGAGGGTTATACCTTCAACATATGATTTTTTGAGGTGTAGGGGAGAGGGCACAATTTAGTCCATAACAAGGGCCTTCTATCTTTCTTGTTTTATGTTTTTTCAGTGCTTGTACCTATGGCAAGAGAATTGACCTAGTCAAATTTCTTCTTGATCAGAACGTCATAAACATCAACCACCAAGGAAGGGATGGGCACACTGGTAAGACTGTGATGAAAACATCACTAGTTCTAGATGCTTGTCAATGATTAAGAATAACGGTATGCAAAGGGATGTGGGGGCATTGGGAGTGCTCAACTCCACTGGGAAAGGGTATTTTATCAACTGGCATCATTTATAATTGATAATGACTGATAATAATGAAAAGCAGACTGACTTGGTCAATTTTATTATTGTGTTAAATTATTTGCAGTCAATGCATCCTCTTATGACCTGCACTAGGGACAGACTGATCACACTGCTCTGCCCTTGATTTGGTGATCAAAAAAAAAAAAAAAAATACCTGTGTCAGGTCTTTGTTCTTTTACATGTGGAAAGATGCTAACACTTGTTCTTGGTAATTACGGTGGATGTAGAAATACTATAATTGTACTGAGGAAAAGACAGTCTCTATAGAAGACTGAGTACAATAGAATACCCGTTTTGCTTAAAGTAATGTCTCTTTTGGTCAATAATAAAATGAGTTCTTTATCAAAGAAATCAATCCTTACTTCATACCTTTGGAAATAATGCTATTATGTGGTGATAACTGTCTTTTGAAAATTTGGGGTGCAGTTTTTCTTTTTTCTCCTTTTGTTCTTTCAATTCTTTTCTGTTACAGGATTACACTCTGCTTGCTACCACGGTCACATTCGCCTGGTTCAGTTCTTACTGGATAATGGAGCTGATATGAATCTAGTGGCTTGTGATCCCAGCAGGTCTAGTGGTGAAAAAGATGAGCAGACATGTTTGATGTGGGCTTATGAAAAAGGTATATTTTTAATCATCGTGTCTCTATAGTGATACATTGAACTGTGTGCATAGATTATGTCAGTGCATCAATAATTACTTTGCTTGCATGACTTCAACACTCTCATTTCTTCTGTAGATTTTACTTGAGTTTCTGGGGCCTTGGATCAAAGAGTCCAATACACTGTAATCAGAGAAGGCAACTCCTAGGCTGCAGATGAGCCAAAGGCATTCTCAGTATTGGCACTTTGAAAGGGAATAGTCACATTTCTAAGTACCAGAGAAACAAAATTGTGATGGCTAATGATAGTAGAGTGGGCTCAGAGCTAATCTTTATTTCTTATATGGGGGAATTTTGATGTGGTTTCAAATTTATAAGAAAGAAGTGAGTACAATGGGGGAAAAAAGAAATATTTGTCAGATCTAACCCTGCTGACAATGCCTGTGCTAGAAAAATGTGACGGAGCCAAGTGTAAACTTATTTGAATATAAACTTATTTGCTTAAGTATAAACTTATCTGAGCTCAAAGTGGTGAAAACTTGAGATCTGGTATGAGAACAACTGGATTTAAATCAAGCCACATTATTTGACCTTGTGCAAATTATTTAATATTTCTGAGCTCCATTTTCTTCATCTGAAAAATAAGGATTATAACTTCTACTTCATAAGATTGTAAGGATTAAATGAGATAATATACGCAAATTGCTTAGAACAGTGGCTGACACAAAATAAATACTAATTGCTATTTTAGTGTGATAGTAGTGTAGTAGTAGTAACTCAGAAATAAAGATGATTGATAACAAATTCATCCTTTCAAAGGAGAAGTAACCAAAGACATTCAGATGTTGAAAAGCATCTTTGTAATTGTTATTGAGATATATTTGCCTCATAAGCGAGTTCTCCATATACACATACACTCCTAAGGAGTTTAGATTTTTATGAAAGAATACACAGTCTTTTATGAAAGAGTATATATTGTCTTTGAAATTACAGGTTATAATTGAATACTTTTAAAAATATACCAGATTTTAAAGTCACATTTCAATTGTTATTTTAACTTTTGATGACTGCATTGTCTTTTTACGATATTAAAAATATGTAAAGAAACATAGTTATCTTTTTAAATACTAGAATCCTAAAAGATTGTACTGAAAATAGCAATTATTAAGCTACAAGATTTCCTAGCCTACCAAGTTGATTTAAAAGGTTTTCTGACTAAAGTGGGATATGGGCCAGGCACGGTGGCTCACGCCTGTAATCCTAGCACTTTGGGAGGCCAAGGTGGGCACGAGGTCAGGAGTTCGAGACCAGCCTGGCCAACATGGTGAAACCCTGTCTCTACTAAAAATACAAAACTTAGTTGGGTGCAATGGTGGATGCTTGCAATCTCAGCTACTCTGGAGGCTGAGGCAGGAGAATCATTTGAACGCTGGAGGCAGAAGTTGCAGTGAGCTGAGATCACGCCATTGCACTTCAGCCTGGCAAGAGGGCGAGACTCCGTCTCAAAAATAAATAAATAAATAAATAAATAAATAAATAAATAAAGTGAGACATGAAAGTCCATCAATGAAAGAAGAAATATAGTCTGATGAATGAAAATGAGGGGCTGTTGTAAGCATGCAGTAAGTGTATAGACAAGGAGAAGGAAAAATGTACAGGTCTGAAGACTGCTAGTAGAAAAACAATATGGGAGTTACTTTAATAAAGACAAGTGAGCAGACATAGAATATTAAGTAATGAGTTAGATATAGGCCTGCTGTGTTTTGGTGGGCTTAGTTTGCTTTTTATTTGAATATTGTGTAAATACAAACACATACACCTTTGCACGTGTTATAACTGGATAGCTCAATGAATTTCACAGATTGAACTCACCCAGCACCCAAATGAAGAAACTGAACATAACAAATCCCCTAAAAGCCCCATTGACATTCTCTTCCAATCACTCCCCTAAGGAGGTTACCATGCCTTCTTGTGGCATAGTTGTTTTGCCACTTTCTGCACTTTATATAAATGAAATGCTATGGTATGTACTTCTTTGTGTCTGGCTTTTCTCAGCCAACAATATGTGGGATTCATTCATATTGTTGCAGGCAGTTATAGATTGTTCATTCTTATGTTGTATAGTATAATGTTTTGTGATTATATCACAACTTTTTTAATTCATTCTACTGTTCATGAGCATTTGGATAATTTTCAGTTTGGTGCTATTAAGAGTATTGTGTTATGAACATTCATATACCTAGATATATGTCTTTCATTGAACATATGGTTGCATATCTATTAGATATAAAGGTGTTGTACTTTGTATTAAAAAATATAGGTAGCTCCATATCTAAATATCAATTGGAAAATTTTAAATGTTCTGAAATCTCAGGAGGCCTTACTAAATTCTATCTCCTCAACACACTGCATTTATTCAAGTGATTCTCAGACAGTGTCTCTCAAGAAATGTGAGCTTCAGTGTAAGACTGTTTACAAAGCATTAGTCTTCCGGAAGGCAGCTCAGAAATTGCTGCTGCAGCTATCTCTTCACAGGGGTTGGCTTTGTTTGTTTTTAGTTGATTGAGAGTGATAGTCGAAAACTGGCTTTACTTTTATTTTTCGTGGAATTCCACACTTTTATGAAACAATGAATCATTGTGTAAGCTTCTAAGATTTCCTATGAAATGTCAACAAAGATCCTTTAGCTTAGAGGACTTGCCCACTGGCCTCTGCAACATATGCTGTATTTGTCACCGTATTTGTTCAAACTAATGTGCCAGGCATCAGTGTTGCATTCCATTATTACTATGAATTTTAACAAATTGAATGTTCTTGCTCAGAAGACAGATGGATGTTTTGCATATGTTCTAGGGCAAAGCAAGTCAAATGACAAAATGAAATTATTGCTATTTTTCTCTTCCTAAAAAAATGTTGCATTGTTTTCATGTGTTCAGGGAGAATTGAAGTGGCCTTGTTAATATTGTCAGCAGTGCACCTGTCCCTGTATCCTTTGAAACAAAAAATGCTTCCCTGTCTCCTTGGAGAGGGAATTACTATATTAATTGATATGGCATACTAAGGAGTTCCCTGAGCAATTTCAAGGTAAAGTTGAGGAAGGACTAAAACTTTATTTGATGTAAGAATGTCCCCATTGTGATTTACCATGTACCCTATCATATCCTGGGAGAGATAAACAAGAAGGGAGCTTCACAATCAAGGGTATCTATTTGAATAGGTCTACTTTTGGATACATTCAATTTAAATAGTCCATCCTAGTCTAATCTCTTAACAGAAAACTGTGGAGTCTTTCTCAGCAGCACCCGTCTCTGTCTGAATGGCTCTAAGCCAAAGTTTTCACCTGACCCAAGCTAAATTTTAGCTGACCTTCTTTCTACTATTTGGATATGGCACATTGAAGTGTGATTTGGAGTTCTGGAAGAGTTATATATACTCTTTTGGAATATTTTCAGAAAAGGGTTTACGCACTATGGTTCCCTGTGGAATCAGATATAAAGAATGCTTTCTATTTGCATAGCTCTTCTAACCTAAATATATCAAAATCAATCTTGAAAATAATTTTCCTGGTGACCTTCATCCTACACAGAAGCCTACTGTTTAAGTTTCAATATTTATCTGCCAGACTGCTTAGAGCTCCAATTTTACAGTATTTAGAGTGTTTCCCCTCCCCATCTGCCCCCTTCTTCGTTTCTACTATTCCATCTGAAAGTGTAGCGATCGCTGTCTCACTCACTTGGATTTGTTCTGCCCTTTCCCTGTGGTACAAAGGACCTGTATGAATCAATTTAAATTGGTCAGAAGAAATAGCCAGCAGCCTGCTTATGTTCAAATCCTCTGCCCTAATCACTAGTATGGAAAACCCATTGAAAAGACCTACACATAATCTTACATCCATTGCATTAAAGATGAAACTGCCGAATTGAAAAGATCTCGGCCAATTAGAATTGAACACAAAACTCAATAGTGTGTTTGGCAGTTAGATTTGAAAAGGCTGCCTTTGACAAAGAAAAGCACTCCTTTATATCAGGCTGTTTAGGGTCAGAAAATAACCCAAACTGAAACAGAACTAAAAACTTCTTATTCACTTCAGTACTGACACCAGTTAAAGTAATACACAGAGGTTCCTATCACAATATCTAATTACCCAGAATACAATATTTGTATACGGCAAAGGCACCTAATTCACAGTGACAAGAAGCTGGAGGTGGAGAATTAGTGAGTAAGTGAGCAAAAACAATAAAAATCAAGGCTCCTCTACCATGATATATACTTTGTTCATTCCTTTTGACAAGTGTAGTATTGTGTGAATTATTTGTAGTAAACGTACTATAGTGTATTCTCTTAAAGTAATGAAATCTTACAGTAATGAGTTTCTACAGTTTTTAGACAGTAAAAAAATGAGAGATGAGAGTGGGAGAGGAGTACAATTAAGAAGAGAGAGATACATTACATTATTTGATAAATTTTCACCAATGGATTATGAACTCCCAGGCTTTTTCTATATTGAATTCCTATCTATTTCAAGTTTAGTTACTTAGTTTAGTGATACTAGTTCAGTGTGCGAGAGTGGATTGGGGTAAGGAATCTATGTGTGAATTTTTGTTTTTGTATACTGGTTATCTTCTTACATGTTTAGCTGCTCTCTTTTAAAAAATAAGTAAAATAATCTCAACTGTCATTAGAATGGAAAGAACCTTCATGATTGCAGGGAGATAACTCACAAAAATGTTTTTTGAAATATAATAATGTAAGAATTCACATACTTAAAATGGATAGTAAAAGAGAACTTACGTTCATTGAGTATCTTTTACATATGCATGTATATGTATATATAATTTAATCAAAGTAACCCTTTAAATTGTTATTATCTTTGTTTTACAGATAAAGAGATTAAGACCTAGGGCTGTTGAGTCACACTTGCCCAACCCATGCAGTTGTTGAGTAGAGCGTCAATACCAAATAGGTGGTCTTATTGTAGAATTCAAGCTCTTACCAACACACTGTAAAATTAGATCTAAGCC